TCAACCAAATTCTTTCAAAAATTAAGCAAAATACTATGACACATTGCAAATAGTTCGCGCACGTATTGTTACATATTTTCGCTTTTTAAAAGGACAGAATGTGACGTTTTTGAGAAAAATTTACACATTTGGAAATCCTTTCGTCCTCTCCATTTGCCTCTATATCTCAAAATATATTAGACGAATAACTCTGATATCGTATATAATGAGGTTATATAATTTGTTACTTTTTTTTTATCAAATCAGGCATTATTCATTTGTGCACAAACTCTATGTCGCCAAAGCCATGCGAATTGCACTTTTACGAATTGTTGTGAGTGTTGTAAGATACATTTTCCTTTCACGTTGTATATTGATTTGGGATAGTTGGATTTTCTTTCCATTTGGCAATGAGATCTTAGACATTTCATTTTCTTGCTATGTTTTGTCATTTTTGGTCTTTCGCATTTGGCACTTGTGCGTACATATTCATGACATTTTGGATAGAATTTGGGACAAAATGGCTACTCCCAGGCTATATCTCTTTTGTTTTTATATCGGGTATTGCTAGAAAAACTAGTTTCTGGGTGAAATTATATGTCACATATGAAGGAGGTAATTTAATTTATACTTGAATACCATGTATTACTCATTTCTGAGTTAATTCTATGCTGAAGAAGTAGTGAAGAAGTTCAATATCATTGTTAATGTTTTATGTGGAGTGGTAGTCATTGTCCCTGGGTCGTTGCTAATTGTGAGTACTATTCATACTCTTAAGCTTATTTTAGGGGAGTACAAGTTTCTTTTAACTTCATTCTATATTCTGTATAATATTTAAAATTGTATAAAAGGTATTCCTTTCAAAAGTTGCACTCTGTCATGCTATATCGTTTTTTTTATGCAAGGCGCATCCTATAACGTTTGATTAATCCAAGTTTTTATGTGCACGCGGTCCTAACTTCGACCGTTAATTTGAATTTTTGACCTACCGGATGTTTGAAAATCAAGGATTATGAGTCTCATACTGCACCGTTTTTACTTCAAACTTGTTCCATTCAAAGCATAACAAAAATCCCTTTCTAATGGTACATTATTCTCTTAATAAGAGACCCTACTTTTAGCGGCATTTTGGTCCCAAGTTGTAAGAAGGCCTTCCAACAGCTGGAGACCAAAACGCTGCGTGAACGAGGGACTCTTTACAATAAAGTGATGCACCGACAGAAAGGCAATCTTGTTTTGCTTTTAATGGTATAAGTTTGAAGAAAAACGGTGCAGTATGAAACTCGCAATCCTTGATTTTCAAGCAACTGGTAGGTCAAAAAATCAAATTAACGGTCGAAGTTAGTACCGCGTGATGTGTAGTATTAGGTTTTTGAGTGCATTTTATACAGTACCACATAATAAGCGAGGAATATACTATACTGAAGAAGTTACGATTTATATGTGAGGTATTCGTGTTTGTGAGTATATTCATGAGGCTATTATATTTTTGATTTTTCATGTGAGATGTTACTTTTTTTGCGAATGCATTATGTTAGGCACTATTACCTGTGATTTATAAACGAGTTATTAGTTCTATATAAGAGCTTTCATGAGAGGATTGGTTCATGCGAGTGAATCCAAATGCTATAGTCACTGATTTTTATTTGAGGTATTTTGTTTTGTTTAATGAACAGTGTTCCTTTTTTAAAAATAATTTCTGGATTTTGCGAACGTTTAAGTTTATGTACTCGAGATGCTGAATGATGTGGGGATTATTTTAGGCAGTGTCAATTTAATTGCTAAAACTGAAGGCTTTAGGTTTGCAGTGGGATGCTGACCCTTTTAAACGTTAAACGAATTATATCTCAAAGCATTAAGACCAAATTCTAAATATTGTATATCTAATATACTATTAATATTGTTATGAGTATTGGCTCTGAATTTGTATTTTTATTCAATTTGTGTTGTAATGACTCGAGTATAATGAGGTGTTACTTGGTGTAATGGTCTGGGAATGATGTTTATACTTAGCTCGTGGGTCGGGAGGGGTTGATAGACGTTTGACTTTGGGATTGCTAGGGTTTCTTATGTCACCACCAAAAGTGGTATGACATATTGTTAAAGTTTTCAACATAAAGTCCATTGACAGTACATATTCGGCGTTCGGTGTATGTAACAAATATGCGTTGGCATTTTGCATGTTAATGCTTTGATATTCCCTTATATTAGTATACTCTTGAACACATTCCATTTGTTGCTGTGCCTTTTCCATTTCCACTTGATTGTGCGTTCATGTTTTGTTACTTCAGAATTCTGATTTTTTATTAATGTGTAACAAACAGTATAATATAACAATTATATTTGTCACTGCGATGCATTACATCGATTCATTTTTACATGATTACCGACATTTCTCAAAGATCCATGTAGTCAATCAAATGTTGATGATATGGTCCTGTTATATTGATTGCTTCACCAATATCTCCAAAACGACATAAAATGTTGAAACATTGATTTTTTATATATAAGGTATTTTAAGGAACACATACCGCAAAATTATAGCCAATAAACTTGATGTATATATTAAAAATATTTTCATGTGATTTTCTTTTAATGTTTGTACTTTAAATTATGAAAAAATACGAAAAACTTTTTACACGTTTTTTGACCCCTGATAATGACATGCATTATTCGGCCTAAAAGCCCGCCGCATTTATCGCGGCTATACAAAAATAAAACGCAGGACACATGTAGGTATCTAAATATAAGCTCAAATATCGTTATGCATATATGGTGCCACCAACTCCTTAATTAGACGTCCTGGAAATTGCATACCATGGACTATATACTAAAAATGAATGTTATAATCGAAAATGATACAGGTATAATCCTGTTAAAGCTGAGGTGATACTAAATTATATCAACTGATATTGGAATATATTTTGGTATAGTTTAGTACCAGACTCTTGTCTATATTATTTTCTTTCCGTATCAGATGTTTAATTTTGAATGATATTTTTGTGATACTGGATTAAACAATAGATTAAACATTGATATAAGGATTTTACACAGGGTTAGGTGAAATAAAGTGGCATAAATTGGCATCATCTTTCAATTTTGAGCCTATATTTTAAAAATTTGGCCAAGATTGTAAGATATTTGGGCCCAAGATATTATTTCGCAAACTGATCGGCCCCCTCATTTTAGTTTTCAGATCCGTCCCTGAATTATATATCAAGTGATATATAAATTCAATCAATGTCATAACTTTAAGTATATAATGGTGTTAATTACTTCTGAGAAAAATGTCATAGTTTTGGTGCATGATGTTACCAATTACATAATCTACAGCCATATTTTTGGTATATAAATTCTGAACAGGAACATAAGGGAAAGCCCATTTAAAAATTGGATTGTAATATGTAAGAAACATGTAAACCCCTTGAGGCAATAAACTTCTCTTTATAATTCAAAAGTGTTTGCTTTTGTGAAAAAATCAACTGAGCTAGGACGCTTTCTTTTGAGCGTTCGTTTTGACATAAAGTTGATCAAATATTAGCAGCGTATAACGGAACAGTCTGAAAAAACATGTTAAGTAGGTTAAGTATATTGAATAAAGGACGATTCTCGGTTTGGAGAACGAAGTTCATCAATCTAAATGAGCATTATCCCTGCTTCGGACAAATTTGATTTTTTTACATAATATAGATTTGAATGTCTTCTTTTGAATAGTCATAATTTAATTTGGGTAATATTTCTAGATTTTTCGCAAAAAAATATTAGCGCAGTACACTTATGAACTTCTTTCCCCAAATCGAGACTTGTATTTTATTGAATCGGTCAAATTGAGCCTTATCCCTGCTTCAGACCAATTTGTTATTTTTACATCTTGTAGATTTAAATGTCCTTTTTTGAATATTCATAGTTTAATTTGGGTAATATTTATATATTTTTCATTAAAAAGATTATTAGCCCAGGAGACTGTTCTCCAAACCGAGAATCGTCCTTTATCGTTATCAACTATACAAGCTAGTCTTTTGAAATAGCAGTTAAAGATGAACTTTGATTCAATATAGTGGACTAGTAAATAATGATCCAACCAATAATTCAATTGAAATAATATGGAATTATATTTCAAATTGAAGAATGTAATTAGCAGGTTATAGCTACATGTATATAAGAAGAGGAAGTTAAACTTGAAAGTAAGTATTTCATGGAGAAGGTATCGAACAGCATCGTGTGTGAACAGCCAGTACCACCACCAAAATTAACTAAAATAGCTCGCTCAGTTTTCAAAAGTGCTGGCTGTCACTCATGGCATACTAGCCCTTGTGCTATATAGCTCGATTTTTGTCTTCAAAACGTTTCTCTCGGACTGTTTAAAGTGGTTTCGATTAATCTTTTTCTAGCATTGTACATGCTAATTAGGTGGCCTCAAAACTAGACATTTTTCTCAAATGAACTCGGGATTCAGTTTTTCACAGTTTGTATACTCATGGTAAGAAATGGTCAATTATACAAAATAAAATTGCATTATACTTTCATAATAACAAGACTTTAGCAAAATGCTACACATACACAAAAAATGAAACAAAATTCTGGGTCACACGACCATTCAAAATGGCCGCTTTTCGATAAAAATAACAAATTCAAATTAAAAACCGTTAAGTGAATTTCAACCTAAATACAATGTAATAGACTAGATGCGAGTAGAAATAAATCTTGAGTTATGTCATTAACTATTCAAATTTTAGTCATATTTGAAATTTACTTGTAAAAGTACATCTAGAAATATGGTTTCGAAAATTGTTCATCAACTTTGAAAATTTAAAAAATGTGACTGCTAGTTCGGGTTGATTTCCCATAGACCCCATGTTACAAATCACAAAAAGTGAAATATGTTTTATTGTATTGGTCAGATAACATTTTTTACCTGAACATGTTTCAATTTGCATATCTATAAGATACATGAGGGTTATATGAAAATTGAACCTCTAAAACAGATATAATTTAAGTTAAGGGGAACTTTCTACTATACCCGCCATGCTATCTGACCCGAACAAGCCACCTGGTGGTGAAACTGGTGAAACGTGAAACTTGTGATGCCAGGTAATGAGAAGTGATATAGATATTGAAATGCCAACCAGGAATCATAAGAAAGGTCGAGATGTTAAAATACTCGAGGCTGTTTGATAAATGAATTATGTATTAAAATAACCTGATCTCCCCTTTTGAATCCCTATGACCTTTTGGTATCTTAAATCATCAGTAACTTCCACGTTTATATGTAAGATATCTTATACTTCAGAAGTTATGTCAAATGTAATGTATATATTTTCAGAATTTACATCCTGGTACTTCAATGGCCTTGAACTGGAAGTAAGGTCAAGACAGTGAATATCAACACAGTCATGGAATGTTTGACGACCATTACTGATAAGTTACAACCAAATTTCTTCTCGGTCTGTGGATTTCTTCTAAACATTTTGATCATTCCACGAATCGGGATCACGGTTGTTGCTCACACTCTACTTTTCAACGAGGGGAACTTTCTTTGCTTCTTGAACATCACATCTGGTCAGTACTCAGACGACGCCCAAACAAACTTCAACCAACGCTGTCATAATGCATTTGCTTCAAAATGGCCGCCATATGTTCATTGGTACACACAATTAGTGTTGACAATTTTCATTTTGAGTTGCTTCTATTTTCCATGTTGGTGGACTGTAGAGCATAAAAAGCCATTAGACAAACTGCAAGCAAATCGTGACAAGTATAATAGATCAATAGGAAAAGTTCCTTGGATATATCTTGCCCAGACCGCTGCACGAACAGCTGTTGAATTTATCTTTACCGTTTCCCAGGTTGCCTTATATGGCTTCCAGATCCCAAGTAGATATGTTTGTTCAGTTGACAATGACACAATACCATGTGATAATCTCAAGGTAACTGGAAAAGTTGGCCTTTTTGTTGCTATGTTTCTCCTGTCTCTACTCGTGATAGGCTTGCTGATTGCTGATTTATACAGAACAATTCAAAAGTTTTTGAAAGGCAGTGAACTATCGCTCTTACCAGTGCTTTGTAACGAAGGTAAGAAATTATGTATTATGCAGAAGCATTCAAATTCTCGTAGTTTCATTTCCCTTTCTAGTATTTATAATATTGTAAGGTTGTATCATGATTTCTGTATTTTCTAAATGTTATTATATATATTGATCGTTCCTCTATTGCAAATCAGCCTCATTATTTATTCTACCAAAAGTAAGCTTAATTATTCATTTTGTTTCACTAAAAAAAATAATATAAAAACATATACAAATATTTCTCAAATTAAGTTGTTACCTGATTCAAACGATGTGTAATTTTTTCAGATTTTTTCGTAAACAGGTTTAAAAGAAAACAATGTTGAATATAGTTTACCAAATCATAATAGTACCAATCCAAATGTTATAGTAATTAATAAATAATCTGACTTATTGGTTCTTTAAGTGGATCATTATAAAACGATTTGTAATATTACTTCAGGCCAAAAATACAGCCCTATATCCACAAGCGCACCTGAACCTGTAGCAGATTTCTTCAAATGTGAAAACTACACAAAGTTGGAAAAGAAACTAGGTGATCAAGACTTGGTTGTCTTAACAGGTGAGTGAACAAGAAAATGACAATTCTAAAGAGTATAAAACCAGATTAAACAAAATAAGTTTTTTCATGTTTATATACATGTACATGTAATTGAAATTATAATTACCACAATCTGACATATGGAGAGCATTATAATTACCATATATCCCAGATGAACATTTTGCTTAATACAAAGGAAATTTTGCAAGATAGACAACTCTTAACAATCGTCTGGGATGAAACAATAACTTTTTAATTTTGACAAAGATACCATATTTTAACATATCTTGTTTATATTAAAGGGACAATGACGGATATAGCTATGAGGAAAGCTTTCTGAATTACATTACAGTCGTACTACAATATTTTTGCTCAAAACAATCTATTCGATACCTGTTATCTGAAATGCCTAAAAGTTCAGGTTTTATTTCATGATCAATTCTTTGTTTTGTAATGTTACCTGGCAAGGATGTTGAAATGTACATCCTTTCTCCTATTTCATTGAATTGGACATTTATACAATCTGAAATATTCAGTAACGTCCATATTTGATAAGTTGTTTCTTTTTAGATTGCTTACCTCAAGGTTATGTCCCGTGCTTTGCAATAGTGCAATTCCCCGTCATCTGTGTACCGTTTTAAATGTTGTAATTAAAACGCTGAATAATATTTTATTTTAAATACTCTTTGTTAACGCAAATAACTTCTCTGGAAAGAAGCTTTAGACCACAGACAAGAGAAACTAGTTAGTATATGTATTTAAAACCATTTTCCTGGGTAAGTAAATACGAAAAAGAATGCCAAGAATTCTCGACTGAAAACAAAGATGGTTTGATAAGTATATATTTGTATTTTTGAACAGTCCCTTGGTTCAGGAAAATACAATTATGCCTTATCCTATGGCAGGAATTCTTAACTGAAACAAATGGGATTTTAATATACTGTATAAGTGGTATTTAATCCGAGTGGTTAATTTTCCGAATGGTCAAATTTCATCATTTTCCTAATTTTAATTTTCCTAATGAGATGAAACCTCCCATTGGATAACATTATAAAGACAATATTTCCGACATTAAATTTCCGAACCAGGCAAAAAGTAGGAAATAGGCAAATTAAATGATTAGGCAAAATTACCACTTATACAGTATTTGTGTATGTATATATATTTTAACACCCATTCCCCTTGTTTAGTCAACTTTATGACGTGAGTTCTTGACCGAAAAGAAAGGGGGTTTGTTTAGAATCCATGTGTATTTTTGAACAGCCTCTATTAGTCTAGGAAAATCTCAATGAGCCTTACTCTATACAAATAATTCTTGACTGAAAACAAATGGGGTTCGTTAAGTATTTATTCGTATTTTTGAATAGGCCCATTTGGCTCAGAAAAAACGCAGATAGCCTTTCTCTGTACTAAGGGGTTCAAGGCTGAAACTAAAACTAATTTTCAAACAGGTCCCTTACAGAATACCCTACTTATTTTTAGCAGAGAATTTCCTAACCAAAAACTAATGGAGTACTTTCATTTAATATGGTATTGTATATATTTTGAAACAGGTCCACCTGGTTCAGGAAAAACGCAGATTACCTATTACTATGCCAAGAAGTTCCAGACTGAAAACGTAGGGACGATGTATTTCAAACTCAAATCAGCATCCCCGGAAGATATCATAGTTGATTGTAAGAAGGTAATTAAATTCCTTGCTTTGGACATTGATATTCCGGACAGTGACATTGATGGTGAAGACATTGCACATAACAAGATCACAGCCAAAAGATTCCTTCGGCATATTTGTGAAAAGCTCGGCCAAAAAACACTGTTGATTTTTGACGGAGGAATATTCAATACAGCTTGTCTTATCAAAGAGGTATTCGAAGGTTCTGAATTTATCAATATCAAAGTTATTATAATCTTAACTGACCAAAAGAATATGAGAGGTTTTGAAAGTTCAAAAATTGAAGTCAATGGGTATACTGAACAAGATATTCTGGTCCTCGCCAAAGATTCTCCATACAATGAAGAATTCGAACTTGAAGATTTGGAGAAATTAGCTCGGAAGCTAGATTATTCTCCACTTGGTATACATGCCGCATGTCAATACATAATTGATTCTCCTGGTTATGAGATAAAGGATTTTCTAAACCGAATGGATGAAGGTAAGAAGCCTATGACGGATAAAGTAAAGGATATAGTGATAGAGAAAAACTATCCAATACCCTTAATTGATTTGTTTGAATTAAGGTACAAAACGGTTTGTGAGAAATACAAAAATGATGACGTACTTAAAATATTGAATATTGTGGCTATGCTAAGCTCCGGCCCAATAGACTTTGATATCCTTGATTGGATTGTAAGGGCTAGCTGCCCAGAGAAAAACAAACCTATTTCTGATCATGATGAAAAGTTTATAAAGAATCAGTTGATTGAGGTAATAAAAGAGCACTACTTGGGCAATGTGGAAGAGATCTCAACCACTGGAAAAGATGACAAAATGCATAAAATACTAAATATGCATAATGTACCAAAATTCGCAATAACGTCAAGCTGGACAGAAGATGAAAGAATCAAATACTTCTTACAGGTGCTTCTCATCCTTGATGACCAGGTTGATAAAGACACGCGTCGTAACAAAGATGTCACATTGATCCTCAACCAGATCCCACATGTGAAACATGCACTGGAAACGGACTTGTTATCCCTTTCCAGAGATCAACATCAACAAGTCGGTATCCAAATTTTACAAATCGGACTACAAGATAGACTGCATCACATGTACACACAAACTGGGCTTATACAGTACTTCAAACAGAGCAAGTCAAAAGCAAAACAACAATTCTATAATCTTCTATCTAACAACAGCTACAACATCTATTCTGATGAGGCTGAACATAATATCAATGAAGAAGTGAGAAAACTGTTGGATCCACAGCTGCAGAACGACATTGTCAGTGATGCATTTATCAAGAAGAAAGCCTATGTAATCAATAGTATGGTGCAAAAGCTAGAGGTACCTAAAGAGCCAGTTGACTTTGTGAATGAACTTATTTGTACAAGACGTCTGAATAGAGACGATGTAAAACTGTTCCAGAGAAAAGTGTCTTTATCCAATAATTATCTTACAGAAGCCGCATACAATACCCTAGTGGGAAAAGGTGCAGCAATTGAATTAGAGACGATGAGGAAAGTGTTTTCATTGGAGTTGTTGGTCTCTATCCTCTATACGCATGGTCGTATGTACTTCTATCAGAACAACAGAGATAAGGATGAGGCAGATGAGGTTTATGAACATGACCTACGCCTTGCATATGAGATTTCTGACATAATACATAAAGAGCATGGCATCAAAATAACTACCCTACTTCTTGCTGAGCGCAATGGTTTTCTATATATAGATGTAGATAGCGGCAATGAGGAAAGGATGAACAACGCCAGGGGAAGATACACTGCCATGTTGGCTGATGAGAGCGAATATTATGAGAAGGGACTGCGAAAGATAGTGCCAAAGAACGATCGGTACCATCAGATGATATGCCAAAAACAGTTGGTGAATTATTACACTTTAGCAGTGGAACAAGAACAAGAGAGAGGCAATGATCATGAGGCGAAAAAATTATATGAGAAGGGATGTGAAGAAGCTACATTGCTACTTGAGTACATCGGGAAGGAGGATTATCATAACAAAGCAGAGGTCTTCATCAAAATTGGCAAGCTTAAAATGACACAGCTGAATGGAAAAATCCTTTGTGATGGAGATGAAGTTGACTCAAAATCGTTCAATGGCACTAAAACTAACTATTTGGAGGAAGCCATTGACACTTTCAAAAATGCTCTTGAATTAGAGAAAGACAAAAGCCAGGATCACCAACGATTTGACCTTGTTGTCGATGCACATGCTGGACTTGCGTGGGCCTTGTATAAACGTGACAACAAAAAGAACAATTGGAAAAATGCAAGAAGACATGCACGTGAAGCAATTAAAATTTGTAAAGGCAAAAATATAAGGAGGAATATTGAAGAGAAACTTCAAAGAGAATTATTGTCAAAGGGAAGTAATCGACTGGATTCCGTAACATCAGTAGACTCAAATGTGTGACGCTCTCACTTCATACATACAACTCATACATGATACTGTACTCTCATACATAAATCTGCGATCAAATGACACGTGACTAATTGTTACAAATAGTTATATTTCACTTAATATCAATAGTACCAAGGAAATGTAGATTTTATAGTGCTGTTTATATCCCACTTATCTTATAGCATGAAGTTTAACCTAGGGTATGATATATATTGCACTATTTGAATATTTGAGGTTTTACCGATTTATATATTGTTTGAGATTTTTATGTAATATATGTTATGTTTTTATTTTGAATAAGTGATTATAATAAAAAAATACCACGATAATTCTCAGTTATAAGTATTTTAAAATTGTCATTCAAGCTCATGATGCTTTATATGCCTCTTTGGTAGCTCATAGTATTAAGTGGGTGGGTTGGAATATGGGCTTAATTGGTATCAAGACATTTCACCCCCTGGACGTTTCACCCCTAGACAGTTCACCCCTCAGACGTTTCACCCCCTGGACGTTTCACCCCCTAGACACTTCACCCCCTAGACGTTTCATCTAGAGGTGTCAAGTATTAACCGGTTAACCGCCGATAATGCCTTGACCGGTCTGTGTTTTTATGGGTGGTTAGTTGACCGTGTATAATTCTGTTTATTATATTGCATGCTAATCTGTTTGGTTTTAAGGTGTCAGTTTCACGTAAGCTACTCATACATGTCATAAGTCCGATAACTCCTTACATAGATCCAATCAGCAACTTTAATCCCTGCCACATTGCTTTCTCGCACTTACTTTGCATGTTAATCTGTTTGTTTTTCAAGCGTCAGTTTCGTGTGAGCTACTCATACATGTGATAGGTCCAATTACTCCTTACAAACATCCAATCAGCAACTTTAATCCCTGCCACATTGCTTTCCCGCGCTTACTTTGCATGTTAATCTGTTTGTTTTTCAAGTGTCAGCCATGTGTAATCAACTCATAGGCCAGATAATTCCTTACACTCATGTAAACATCCAATATTGTTATCTATCAACGTCGCCAAAATGTCAAAGGTCAAAGCCTTGCATTGGTAGTGAGAAAATTAAAATTAAAATAAACACTTATCAGCTGCAATTCTCGTTGTTATGGTGCGTTCGTGGAGATTCCAAGGGTAAACCATCGTGGTAAATAATTAAGAGGTACCGGTAGTCAGATAGTGTATGAATAGAATAAAGTAAAGCTTGACGAACGTAAAAAATAAACGTCGATATATCATTTTTCCAATGTTTTTCAACTTTCCAGATCGAAGATGAAGATTTCATTTGAAATTATCAGTTCAAATTTCCCGCCGGTTAACCGATTTTAACCGGTAAAAACACCCGGTTAACCGGTTAATGCTCAAGCAGTTAATTGACACCACTAGTTTCATCCCCTGGATGCTTCACCCCCTGGACGTTTCACCCCCTAGACATTTCACCCCTAGACTTTTCATCCCTTAGACGTTTCACCCCTAGACGTTTCACCCCTTAGACGTTTCACCCCTTAGACATTTCATCCCCTAGACACTTCACCCACTATACATTTCACCCCTTAGACGTTTCACCCCCATATATAGTTTGTGTACATGTACAACGTCATGGGTTGGGTATTTAGTGAATTTTGACTGAATTTACATGAGTATACTTATTTCTTTCAAGTAACATTGACTGGAAAATGTCATAGTGTATAAAACCATAACAATATTGGTACAAATAAGTTTTAAAAAAAGGTTTACACTTTGTACTGATTAAATATGCGTTCCTCTAATTACCTAGACAATCCCTTCCCTTGTTATCAAATGCATTATTAAAAAGCAACAGACTGATGCATTATCATTTTTTAGATTTAGAAAATTAATCCAATTGTTTTTTTTCTTGTACATTTTTAAGTGCAACATGTTCAATAGAAACAATATATATATATATATGTATATGAAATCTTAATATTTAAAATTCTTTGTACCTATGCTTTTGAATCCAAATTTTCTGAAAATTGATGCATATGTTTTTTGCTTGTAATGTTAATAAGGCCAGTAATAAATAACAGTGCTAGAATGGCCAAAAATGTTGTTTTTTGTATTAATAGCAGAGTTGTTCTTCATTAACCAATTTCTTGAAGAGCTGCAATAGAAAGTTATTAATTAACTGGATCTCACTTCAAAACCCAGAAAACTGAATATGGAAAAACAAGTGAATAGACTCGATGCGAGTAGAAATAATGATTTACGCCATTAAATAATCAAAATTCAGTCAAAGTGATGTCATATTTGAAATCTACATGTAAAGTTTCTAGAAATATGGTTTAGAAAATTATTTTTCAACTTTGAAAATTTAATTATTTTTGAAAATGTGACTTCTAGTTCGAGTTGATTTCCCATGAACCCCATGTTACAAAATCACAAAAAGTGAAATATATTTTCTTGTGTCGGGCAGATAACATTTTCTTTTACTGGATATATTTTGATTTGCATAACTATTAGCTACATATAAGGGTTATATGAAAACTGAACCACTAAAACAGATGTAATTTAAGTTCAAGGGAACTTTCTATTATAACCACCATGTTATCTGACCCGAATGGGACACCTGGTGCTGAAACTGGTAACTACCTGCTTGCCTCTGCCTTATAACTGGTGACTTACAATACTTGTTATTTGATTATGCTATTTGAAACACTTGGTAATTAAATTCTGATTTTAATTAATTAAGACCACGCTAAACCAGATTACATAAAATCATCTAACTTAAATTCACTGAGCAAAATGTGTCAATGGAATATGTACAATAATATATGCCATTTATACCTAAGGTATTCAGTTCTAAAATACTTGAATGAAATATTGAGGAGTAAAATATTGAGGCTAAAATGTCTAGTGGGTGAAACGTCTAAGGGATGAAATGTCTAGGGGATGAAATATCTAAGGGGTGAAACGTCTAAGGGGTGAAGTGTCCAGGGGGTGAAATATCTAAGGGATGAAATGTCTAAGGGTGAAACGTCCAGGGGGTGAAATGTCTAGGGAGTGAAATGTCTAAGGGATGAAACGTCCAGGGGGTGAAACGTCTAAGGGGTGAACAGTCTAGGGGTGAAACGTCCAGGGGGTGAAATGTCTAGAAAGCGCTTAATTTCGAGTTAAAATATGATATTGTCATGACAAAAATATCATATTGACCGAAGTTGTTAACCCTCGAGTGTCAGTATGATATTTTGCGAGGCCAATATCATATTTTCCCAAGTTTGAAATCGAATTCTAAGGGAAAAAATGCATATTCCATAACGACCATTGAACCTATTTATTCAGAGGTTGCGTATCTAGACATATCTGTCACGGTACTGGACCCTACAGGATGTTCCATATGTTTCAGGAATGATGCTGTATTTTAGTTGTTTTCTTTTCAATCTAGCTGAATTTTTGACAAAATGTGTCCATGTTAGTTGTAAATGAATTGGGAAAGTTTTATATCACGAAAGTCAGTAGACCTAATAATATGGTTGCTATGGTAACCCAGGGGTGTGGTAGGTGGAGCAGGTGTAACAACCGGCAAAATATATGTTATATTTGTAAAAATAGTAGTTTTTGTATGAAGTGTGGGTTAGTATTAGGTTGTCATAGTTGCATCAAAGCAAAAATGAAAGTGAATTCCTGGAAATTAAAAAGAATAGTCATCATTGATGATATATTACAAAATATAGGACTTCAATGACTCGTGTTTTTCACAAAGTTTAGCCTTTTTTATCATGATGGATCGCCAAAAACGGCATGTACCTTTCAATGAGATGATATGTTTTTAAAAGAGTGGTATCGGTATGGTGAACTTTTTGAACACGCGTTTCTCTTAAACCAGTCATCATAACATTCTGAAAATTTACCACATCGTCAATTTAATAGTCATCTTTTGGATGGTAACATTATAATTTGAAATATATTTATGTATTTTTCTCTGTATTGTTTTAGAAAACACATAAGACACTTCTTTTGTTCTTGGTATCATATGTTCGGAATGAAATGAAACATCTATCCGAACCTCATTGGCACAAAACGACATAAACACAACATGTTTAGGTCTCTCAATATTGTAAACAAAGGAAAGTTTGGTTGAAATAAAAGGTTTATCTTAATTTCTATCTATTTTAGGGGGGTTTGTTTTAAGTTTTTGCATAATTTTTGTTAAATCAACCAAAATTTCCTTTGTACAACTATACTATTGAGAGGTCTAAGAAAATGTTGTATATGCTATTTTGTTAACTATGCTATTTTGCTAAAATGTTAACAAAATCAGTTATATAAAATAAATATAAATAATTTTTGCATTAAATTGTTGCCAATCAGTCAACATTACATAAAGGAGCGTGTTTTTTACAGAATGTTTTCAATAATTGGTTTAAGAGAAAAACATTGTTGAATTCAGTTCACAATATCGATACCTATCCTTTAAGCTGTAAACTCAAACAAAAAGTCAAACTACCCGCTATTATTTTGATTGCACAAGACGAAATTTTCATTCCCGGAGAACTTTGGTAGCTCTTTGAAGGAGGAAAAATCGTTTTGATGATTTGAGTTAAACTGTGGATATGTATATAAATGTAAGTTTTATGTATTCGACAGTTAATGTGCACATATGATGTATGCATCAACGTGTGACCTAGATATCAATTCGTGACCATCATATTTGGTTACATCCTATATGGTCATACAAACCTTATATGGATCTATCACATGATATTCAAAATGGCGGACAACGGTCGGTTGGATTCCTATATGGTCATGTAAGCCTTATATGGATCTAGCACGTGAGTACCACGTGAAGGCTGAACTTTGGGAGATCTCCCCCCTGATACTATGGCGAACTAAGGTGGACTAAGGTCATGTGATCATTTATATCCAATCGGGATGTATTTCTACCACATAGTGATATCATAGTGATCTAAAGATAAACCAAGCTGTAGGAAGGGTTTATTATTAGAAGGGGTGCTCTTCTCTGATTCGCTATGGTTGACAAGCATGT